GTGATCTGGTTGGACACAGGCTCGAGGAGGTCCGTCTGGCCCCTAAGAGCGCAGCAAACGTCCACCTTCCTCAGGGTCCAGTCGGCCCCACAGGCCCTGGTGTCCCCTCTGGCCGGGTCCACTCCCAGCCACGCCCCGGCGCCCTCGGCCTGCCCTCGCCTTCCTCCTGCCCATCCGTCCTCCACACCTCACAGCAAAGTCCACCTGCCCCTTCCTGAGGGGGATCTGCTGCCTGCGGGCCCCAGGGTCAGGAGCCCAGCCTGGCACGGACCCAGACCTTCCCGCCCGTGCCCTGTTCCCTGAGCACAGCCCTCTGTTGCCAAGGCTGCGAGCACCTCCCTCCACGGGGGTCACCCTGGGTCACAGCTGAAGAAGGAAGGGCCTGGCCGCAGAGGCACTCCCTCTGGGACACCTGACACCGCCCGGGGCAGCCTGGCCCCTTTGAGCAGAACTTCCGGGACACCTTCCAGCGCAGGCACTCCGTCCATGAACTAAGCAGCTACCACGTCCCTTCCTCCCCGCCCTCCCTCCGCACGGCACTCTTTACCCCACGTCTCTGCCCGGATGGACGTAATCCCTGGTAACAACAAGGAGCCTGTGTCTGGGCCACATTCGGGTCCTCGCTCTTCCTGCTCAGGGTCCTGGGGGAATTCGTGTCCCTGAGCCTCAGCGTCTCCTCTGTACAATGGGGCGATTTCCCTCTCAAACATGGACCGATGGCACCCACGTCGCAACTGTCCTATCCGCCCAGTCAGTGCGGCCTGATGGGACCAGAACCTGTGTCCTTCCCCTCCCTCGGCCTCTCATTCCTGCTGCCTCCCCCTGGATGTGGTGAGGTGAGACTGTGCTGAGGGGCCGTTCTGGACCCTGATTCAAACACAACGAGGCCCTTAGGAGGCAGGAGAGACATTTTACATGAAGTGGAAGTTGGTGACCCAGGAGCCAGGGTTCGTGTTGTGATCCTGGCATTGTGGCCGAGACAGAACATGCACTTACTTTTGAGAGTTGGATCCTGAAAAGTTTGTGGGGATAAAAATGACAAAATGTCCAAGGTTTGCTTTGGAATATTTCAGTGGAGGGAGAAGAGGGATGGAGGAAGCAAGAGGAGCCGTCTTGAAAATTCTAGTGTCCAGGAGTTTGTGATATTGTTTCCTACCTACGTTGGTATCTGAACATTTCTTCATACTGATAAAAAAGAGCTAGGTGACTTTCATACTGAAATAGAGTTTGCAAATCAGCAGCGGCAGCCACCGCCTGGGAAAAGAGTCGCCAGAATTAGCAAATGAAAATTACGGGATGCCCAGGGGAATTTGAACTTCACATAAACAGCACGCGTGACTTCTTGTCTGGGTATGCTCCCCCCGATATTTTACTGAAACTGAGGAATTCTCTGCGCAAAGAGCCTGGCGGTTCCTCATAAAAGGACACAGGTGTGATGACCTAGTCTCTGCCCTCCTGGGCATGTGCCCCACAGACCTGGAGACGGACTTATGTTCCCACAGAGACCTGGATCAGCTTTATTCGTAACAGCCCCAACCTGGAAACCATCCAGACGACCTTCACTGGGTAAATGGTTAAACAAGCTGTGCTGCGTTCACACCCCAGAAGGAATACTACTCAGCAATAAAAAAGAACGGGCTCCCGATCACACGCAGCAGCGTGGATGGATGGTTGACGTTGTGAGTGGAAAAAAAAAAAAAAGCCAAGCCCGAAAGGTTCCGCGCTAGATGGTTCCATTCAGGCGGCATTCTTAAAGGGACAAGAGCGTGGACGTGGAGGACAGAGTGGCTGTCGAGGCTTAAGGTGGGAGTGGGGGCGAGGGAAGTGGCTGTGGCTAACACAGGCGGCCTGGGGGACCTCGGGGACGCTGGCGGCATTCTGCATCCTGACGGTGCCGATGTCAGGACCCTGGCGGTGAGACTGAACTCCAGTCTCACAAGATTTGGGGGAAGTGGGGAGGGGTGGTGAAAGGCACACCAAATCTGTTATTTCTTACTATTGCATGTGACTGTGTGATGGTCTCAAAACAAGAACGTCTAATTAAAAAGAAAAAAGAAGCAAGAAGAAGTCACGTGGTGCTTATCTGAGGGGCAGATGTGAGTGGCATCCTGCATTTCCTCTGGCCGCACTGGAGCCTGCGGGATGCAGACCCTCCGCCCCACTGCAGAGCCCCCGAACCAGCACCGCGTCGTGGCGCCCAGGCAGGAGCTCTGACTCGTCCAGCCCCTGCTGTGCCTGGGCTCCTGGGGGTCTGTGCCGGCAGCAATGACCGTGTGTCCTCAAGCTCCTTACGATACTATCTCCAAAGCCCAGAGGGAGCTAACGGCACGTTTACCCGCGATCAGCTGCACAGGACAGCTGCGTCTCCACCCCCCAGAGTGCTGTCCCGCTGGACGCACAGGGGAGCCGATGCCAGCCCTGGCCTCCAGCCACCACAGCCCTGCCCTGCCCTCTCTCTGCCCCCTCCCACTGCTCCTGCCATGTGACAACACACCTGTTCGTTTCTCAAGCACCAAACCCAGTGGTCGGCAAACTCCTTAGTCCACAGAGCCAAATACCAACAGTACAATGATGGACATTTCTTTGGAGAGCCACATGTTTTAAACGTAAACTTCTTCTAACGCCACTTCTTCAAAATAGACTCGCCCAGGCCGTGGTACTTTGTGGAAAAGCCACGCTCAAGGGGCCAAAGAGCCGCATGTGGCTCGAGAGCCACAGTTTGCCAACTACGGGACCAAACCCATTCCCACCGCAGGGCCTCTGCGCCTGCTGTGCCTTCGGCCCGAACGCTCTGCCTCTAGGGTTCCAGTGGCTCTGCCCACGGTCACCTCCCCAGAAAGGCCTTCTCTGCTCCTCCTCTCTAACTAGGTCACATTCCATCACATCAAACCGATTCATTTTCTCATCGCAGTTATTAGCACCTACCCATACTGAACGTCTCATGCAAGTTAGGTACTTCGGAAAAAGTCCGAGTCATAAAAATCAGGAAAACACATTAACGAGTAATTAAGAATATAATTTGCCGAGACTGGTTTGGCTCAATGGATAGAGCGTCGGCTTGGGGACTGAAGGGACCCGGGTTCGATTCCGGTCAAGGGCATGTACCTTGGTTGCGGGCACATCCCCAGTAGGGGGTGTGCAAGAGGCAGCTGATCGATGACTCTCTCTCATCGATGTTTCTAGCTCTCTATCTCCTCCCTTCCTCTCTGTACAAAATCAATAAAATATATTTAAAAAGAAAAAAGAAAAAAAAAAGAATATAATTTGTTTGGTGGACAGAATCTGTTGTTTTTTTAAATATATTTTTTTTATTGATTTCAGAGAGGAAGGGAGAGGGAGAGAAACATCAATAATGACAATCTTTGATTGGCTGCCTCCTGCACGCCCCCTCTACTGGCGATCCAGCCCGAAACCCGGGAATCGAACCATAAACTCCTGGTTCATAGGCTGATCTCAACCATTGAGCCATGCTGGCCGGGCTGGAGAGAGTCTTTTAGAAGCACCCAGAATGTGGAAGAAATAAGTAGCCAAACAGGCCATGTCTGAGGGTCCTGCTGGCTCTAACCTTGGTGTCTTTCCGTAAATCCCAGTGTACACCTGTTCCTCCCTGGCTTGAAAAAAATGTCATCTTTCTAGAATACAGTTCGCACTTCTCACGCCAGCATTCAAGGCCCTTCTCATCGGGCCCCGGTGAACTTCCCCAGGGTATTTCCCTTCCTCCCCCAGACAGACTGCTGTCTGCTCTGGCCAGACAGCTCTCTGCAGCGCTCCCTGAGCAGGCCACACAGGGTCCCCGCTCCGTGGCTTTGCGTGAGCCATTCCCTTTGCCAATTACGCCCTGTTTATTTGGATGAACAACTGCCGGGTAATTTGTTCAACCGATGAACATGTATGAGCACCCACTGTATGCACACAACGTGCTACATGGGTAAAAAAAAGTATTGGTTTTCTGCCCCCCCTCCCCCTTCCAAGTATAGGAGGTCCCAGCAGAACACCTGGTTAATGAGATTCCCATTTGCGATGTTTAGTTCTGAAGTCCTCTGTCTGACTCCTAGTGGCTTATGTGCTGGGTCAGTGGTCGGCAAACTGTAGCTCGAGAGCCACATGCGGCTCTTTGGTCCCTTGAGTGTGGTGGCTCTTTCACAAAATACCTATGTGTTGAAATGTACAGTGCGACTGAAACTTCATGGCCCATGTGCAGAAGTCGGTTTTCGGCTCTCAAAAGAAATTTTAATCGTTGTACTGTTGATATTTGGCTCTGTCGACTAATAAGCTTGCCGCCACTGTGCTGAATGGTCTCAGGTGATGGACTCGCTGATCTGAATCTGGGGGACTCCTGTCCACACTGAACTGTTTCCTCCAGAGACCTTGTCTCTGCGTTTGCTGCAAACCAGAGGCACTGCCAACCCAGCATCGCTCGGACCCCTCGGAGGGTCCCCTTAAGGCGGAGACGCAGGCCCCTGAGGAGATCTGCCATTAGGGGAATCTGTAAGAAACTGCCCCGTGGGGGCCCAACACCTAAATTTCAGCAAAGGCTGAAGGCCCAACCCCTACAGCCAGCACCTGCCCTTAGGACAAGCTGGTCCTTTCTGTTCACTTACTGCTTTCCTCTCTACCTCAGGCTGTGGCTTACGGCTGGCTTCCTTTAGCGGGGAGAGGAAGTGGCTTTGGAGATTTCCCAGATGTGGTGCGAGCCTGGCAATGCGTTAAAAATATATATATATTTTATTCGGGAGTGGATTCTTTTGCAGTGGGGTAGAGGGGAAATCCCAGGAATCGTGAAGCAACCGCTAAAATCCCCAGAGAGGTGAACTCCCGATGAAGAAACGAAGGCTCACAGAGGTGAGATGAGTCTTATTCAAGGTCGCACGGCTGGTTGCAGGCCGGTCCGGGGTTTGAACCCGTGCACAGTGGCAGAGTGCACAGGCTCTTTCCACCTTCCCTCCGCCCCGAGCTGCCCCCGGAGAGCCGCCCGGGCCCGGGCTCGCCGGCGCCCTTACCTGGTGCAGGGGGATGACGAGGAAGGCGCCCCCTCCGGCGCACTCCGTCACCACGGCGATGAAGTGGGGGTTCACGGCGCAGAAGTGATTGTCGTGGACGCTGTGGGTGATGGGCACCGCGTCGTAGCAGTTCTCCTTGCTGGCCGGCTTGCCGAAGACGTGGCGGAACTTGGAGCTCCGGTACTGGGGGTGCCATGACATCTGCGGAGACACACGGGACGGGGGGCTGAGGCTCACGGCCCGGGGAGCGGGGTGCACGCGGCCTCGCGGGGGGACGCAGAGCAGGGCACGCCGCCCGGGACAGGGACGAGCTGTGAACCCAGGGAACAGGCCATCTCGGCGGCTCCTTCCATGGGCCCGGGGAGATGCAGCGAGATGACGTGTGATTACTGTTCACCTGCCTGCTTTTCGTCCGTCCAAGCGTGAACACCAAGAGCGCAGAGACATGGGAGGGAGGCCTCAGCACATTCCCAATCCACCATCCTGCCGGGCAGGCCGGCCACCCCGCCCCTCCCAGCCCAGCCAACTGGGTGACACGGTGCCCTCCGGAGCCAGCCAGCCTGCCCTTCAGCCCCAGCTTTGCCTCTTGCCAGCCCGGCAGGCAAGTGACTTAACTTCTGAAGCCCTCCTTTTCTCATCCGTAAAACGGACAAGTCCACCTGAGCTCACGGGCACCTCCACGGAAACAGCAGCTCACCATGGGGGGCTGGGGCCACCCCGGGTGCTTCTTCCTCTGTCTGAGCTGAGCAGGCGGGGCTCCCTGGCCCCCCATCACAGATGCAGGGGTGCGGCCAGACGGGAGGCCCCGAGGTCACAGTGTCAGCCGTGGAGCTGGGAGCAGAACCGCCGTCTGCAGCTTCCAGCCCCAGGTTTCTGAAGATTAGGACTGAGGTGACAAAAGCTCTTTCGCAAGCACTGAACCCTGGACCCCACCTCACCCCGTGACCGTCACCACCCCCACTGCACCCCGAAGGAGAACGAGGCTCCGGGAACTAAGTGGACGCCCCCTGGAAAGGGGGCAGGTGGCCTCTGCAGGAAAAGCCGGCTGGCCTCAGAGCAGCCTGCGCACCAGCGACCTTCTGCCCCCGGCCCCAGACTCCTCTCCCCACTCCACTCCACCCCTCCCCACCTGTCCCGTCCCACCGCCTTATCTTCACTGCCAAGGTTCGCCCAGACCTATTGCCACGGAGGGAAATGCACAGAAGTGGGGGATGGAGCAGCACCAGCCTCTCCCTTGGCCCACGATATGGGAGTGGGCACCCCTCTGTGCAAGTGAACTTTGCGCGGTTGCGTGTGCACTGTGCGTGTGCAAGTCTGTGCATGAGCACTGCATCCACCAGAGGGTCCACAAGGACCCAGGGCTCACTCCCGTCGTGTGCATGCACGTGTATCCGTGCATGCGTGAGCTTAAGGACTCAGTGATTCAGAGAACAGGCGCTTTATTTCCCCTACAAGCAGGCACTTGCTGGAAACGCAGGCCATTGCGGGCCCTCAGCCTCGCCCAGGGGCTGGCCCGGAACGGCGGATCCCGGCCAGGTGTATACGCCGCCCCTCCTATCCTGCCCGGTCCCATCCGGCAGGGTCCACGTCAACGGCTGGGTCCACGCCAACGCCACAGTCCTAGCCCTTCGGCCACTCCCAGAGCTCTGAGGCTTTCCGAGGCATGGCACAAAGCAGGGGTGGCATCTATTCCGCCCCGTGCATGCTCAGTGCCCCCGAGGCCAAGGGATTAGCTCCGTGGGCTGTGAATTCCCCGCCCTTCCCCCTCCCAAAGGGGTTAGTCATCTCTGGGTTAACATCCCATTGAGTTGATTTAGTGCCTGGCAGCAGGGAGCTGGCTGCCTGTGCCAGCCCTCAGCTCTCCTGCGGATCAGTGTCCGTTTGGTGCAGGAGAAGCAACCTGACCAAGATCCCAGGGGTAGGATCAATGAAGGTGGGAAGCAGAAGGCAAACCCTGTCCAGAGGCCCCTCGTCCTGCCACACGCTCCTCTCTGACAGGTGAGAGACGGACAGAGACAGACACAGCAACTCTCCTGCCTGCCCCCAAAGGCCTGTCTTCCCAGCCCAGCGCTCGGTCATCGAGGGACCAGCGTTGGCTCGGGGGTGGCTGGGAGGAAACCCACACGGAGTGGTACAAAGCGGCACAGGAGGTGATTCATCGATCGCACCGTTCCCGGCCTCGGGGAAAGAATGAAATGATCTGATTTGATCTTGGAACCCCTGGGATGGGTAGATGCCTGCTGCTGCCGGCTACCACTGTCTCGTTATAAGTGTGTGGTTCCACATCTGACGTTTGGAGTTTTATTTCTTTTTCCTAAAACCTGACCTTGGGGTGAGTGAACTAGCTCCAGACCTGCCTCCTGAGAGTCCGAACCACCACACTCATGTCTGCCGCCGTCAACAGAGGGAGGTTACAACCACACACGTTTCCTGGTTTTAAAAAAACGGTCCAGCCGGCGTGGCTCGGTGGTTGAGCATTGACCTGTGAGCCAGGAGGTCACGGTTGGATTCCCAGTCAAGGCCCGTGCCCGGGCTGTGGGTTCGATCTCCGGTGTGGGGTGTGCAAGAGGCAGCCGATCAATGATTCTCTCATCACTGATGTTTCAACCTCTCCCCCTCTCCCTTTCTCTCTGGAAAAAAAAAAGAAAAAAGATATAGCATAATATGCTAATTGGACCAGACGTCCTTCCAGGCGGCCTTCTGGACGAAGCCGGGGCTGTAAGGGAAGCCCGGGTCCCGGGTGCCAGAGGGAAGCCGGAGCCGGCAGCCAGGGGAAGGAAGGCCCTACTCTTGCACAAATTTCAACCACTGGGCCTCTAGCATAAACATAAACAAATATCACTGTAAGAGCACAGAGCATTCTGTCTGCAGGTGGTCTATAAAAGACCAAAAAGATAACATCATAAACACCCAGTATGGGCAGGTCCCTCACCTCGACTTCAATCCTGACCAACTGTCACCTGTCGTAGGATTTATCCTTGGCCCCAAACTGGCCAGAACCGGTTTGGCTCAGAATATAGAGCATCGGCCTGCGGACTGAAGGATCCTGGGTTGGATTCTGGTCAAGGGCATGTACCTTGGTTGCGGGCACATCCCCAGTGGGGGGGGGGGTGCAGGGGGCAGCTGATAGATGTTTCTCTCTCATAATGTTTCTAACTTTCTATCCCTATCCCTTCCTCTCTGTAAAGAATCAATAAAATATATTAAATAAATAAATAAATAAATAAAAAAGCTCCTTTCTATGCACCCGAGAGGTCGGAAGCCAAGGCCCCCTACAGGCAATGAAGGCTCCTCAGCCCGCAGGCCCCCCCCCCCCCCCCCCCCCCCGGGCAGGAAGAGGAAACCCTGCTTCTCCGGGGTGAGACTCTGCCCATTGTAGGCCAGGCCCTGCAGCTGCCCTCCTTGGCACCAGGTGCCCTTACTGCCGCCAGCAACAGGGACTCATCCCCCAGACTTAGTTTTTGTCCCTCCTTCAAAGCAGAGGCCGGTCGCTGTCCACCAAAGGAGGAGGCTGGGATGGGGATGGGGGTTCCGGGACTGCAGTGCTAACAGCGGGAAAGTCCCAGGCAAAGGGGACAGTGGCTCCCCTGCCACCTACCACAGAGACCTTTATCTGATTCACGTGCAATTATTTTCCTTTAAGCCACCAGTAACCCCGACGCTGGCAACCTGCCCCTGAGAGACTCTAGAACTGACTTCTTTTAAAAATATATATAGCCCAAACGGGTTGGCTCAGTGGATAGAGTGTCGGCCTGCGAACTGAAAGGTCCCTGGTTCGATTCTGGTCAAGGACGTGTACTTTGGTTGCAGGCACATCCCCAGTAGGGGGTGTGCAAGAGGCAGCCGATCGATGATTCTCTCTCATCGATGTTTCTAACTCTCTATCCCTCTCTCTTCCTCTCTGTAAAAAATCAATAATATATATATATATATATATATATATATATTTTTTTTTTTTTTAAATATATATTTTTATTGCTTTCAGAGAGGAGAGGGAGAGACAGAAACATCATTGATGAAGGAAAATCATTGACCAGCTGCCTCCTGCATGCCCCACACTGGGGATGGAGCCTACAACCCAGGCATGAGCCCTGAACCGTGACCTCCTGGTTCATAGGTCAACACTCACCCACTGAGCCACGCCAGCTGGGCTAGAGCTAACTTCTGAAAGAGCCCAACATCCTGAAGCAGAGAACAGACCGTATCAAAGCAGGAAAGTCCAAGTTTGTAAAGAGAGGCGGATGTGAGGTGATTCAGGCACCAACCTCCACCCGCCACTGGCTGTGCTCATTCTGTGCCAGGGCTGCGGTGGGCCAGGGCAGGGCGCCAGAGAGGGTGGACTCAGTGACTGCTTTCCACACGTCTACACGCCTCCGGGGAAGACGAGAGGCCAGGACCCGACAGGCTGTCTCCCTTCTGGAACTGACGGCCAGGACCGTGGTTGCTCCTCTCAAGGCTCAAGTATAATACATCGCAGCTCTGGCTGGGGACCCAGGCGCTGGCTCTGTCCAACGCCAAGCCTCCCGTCACACCCGGCTTCTCAACCAACGTTACCATGAAGTTCAACGAAAACCCAGCTCCCGGCCGCCCCGGCAACATTTCCAGTGCTCGGCAGCCTCGGGTGCCCCGTGGGTATCCGATGGAAGTATGATTACGGGACCCGTCCGTCACACCCGTGTGACTCTGGGCAAGTCCTGTAGCCGTCTATGTCCTCGCCAGGAAAACCGGGCATTGTAACAGCAGCAAAAACAACAGCCAACACGTGGTTTACTATGTGGGAAGCATGTTCCATGTACTGACTCAACTCTCACGGCAGTTCCATACGTACGGCCGCCCCGTTTTTACAGACGCGGGAACGGGGGCCCAGAGAGGGTAAGTAACCCGCCCAAAGTCACACAGCTCGTAGGCATCTGAGCTGGAATCCAAAGCCGGTCCGTTGTTTAGTCCCAGGCTCACACTTCCTCACGGGGCTGCCCTGAGCATTCAGGGAGACAGTCCACACGGCGGTGCCCGGTGAATGCTCAGCACTCTGCAGGTGCTGGTTGTCAGATGGATGTGGCCCCAGTGCTCACAGGACGCTGAGATTGGATGTGGTGCACGTCAGGTGTGTGCCCAGCGTTTGGGGAATCGGAGCAAGAATCCCAAACAGGAAGTGCCAAGCACCTGGCCCCTGGTGCTGGCCACGCTGGTGGAGGGAGCAG